AGAAGTGGATCCTCTTTAACTCGGAATCACCCGTACATTCGGAAAAGTATGAGGATGTCATCCTCGACCAAATCAATTGGTTTATGAGTTATCGCACGGATTCAGACATATATGTGCCGTACGGGTCAGTCATCCCTTGTGATAATAAGTGGCAAAACGAAAACCTCTTCGACGGTAAGACTCGAAACGTCGCGTGGATTGTGTCCAACTGTCACTCGAAGAGCAAACGAGAGGAATATGTCAAAGAACTGGTTAAGTACATCGATGTCGATATCTTTGGAAAGTGTGGTACAAACTATTGTCCACGAAATGACTCGTGTTATCAAATGCTTGAAAAGAAATACAAGTTTTGCAAAGACTACGTGACGGAGAAGTTGTTTCAGTATATTCAGTACGATATGATTCCCGTATGTCTTATACTGACCCAGTACAGTAATATTTTGTTAATTAATACTTGAATTGATGGACAGGTAGTGTACGGATCGGCGAACTATTCGCAAATAATGCCAAAGAATTCATACATAAATACCGCTGATTTTGGTTCACCTCAAGAGCTGGCGAATCATCTGAAGGAGATCTCGAGTGATAAGCAAAAGTACAACTCGTATATGAATTGGAAGAATAATTATTGCGTTAAAATAACTCATTATAAGTACTTTTGTAACTTATGTGAGAAACTGAATGTCGATTCCGATCGCAAATTGTAATAAAATTGTTTATTTGCTATTTATAAATGTTTATGCGTTCATTGTTATTAGTGAATTGTTTTCTATGGATTTACATGGTTTTCAGTTCTCATCTCAATTGAGATATATTTCTCATTATACTTATTTTTAATGTATTTAAACAAATAATTTAATGCATTGATAATTGGNTTTCTCATTATACTTATTTTTAATGTATTTAAACAAATAATTTAATGCATTGATAATTGGGTACTCAAAGAGTATTGAAAATATGAGTCCCATTATATATGCAATACAAACGTGTTGTAGGAATATAATGAATGTGGAGTACATGGAGGTGTCGATCAAATGTCTTCGGGTGCCTATAAACACGTATATGGACCACGAGTGCACCAAATATGTCGAGTATGTGATCCGGGCAAACGGCACAAATAATTTTGACGATAAAAACTCATCTATAATTCCTCCGTTGCCTACAAATGACAACAAATTATGATTCTTATGTTACATTTATCATAATATGTGAGTTTAAAATTCATTCAATACAATATACCTGTTATACACAACCAGATAGTCATTGCTAAACAAAAGGCATACAAAAGTCGAGATGAAGGGAAGACTATCGCAGAAATATATCTATTGAATGGTTGTCCGTAATTGTAGAATAAGGTATCAGATAATGTGAGTTCAAAGCATAGTATGACAGAAACCCATAGAAACACAGTAATGGTCTGCAAATAATTTCTATGTTTAGTATATTTATAAAAATAGGACATTAATGATGAGACCTTAGAAAGTT